AATTATAATAGGTAAATATACATATATACATATTTATATTTCTGTAAATACATATGTATGTATGTAATGACCCCCCACAGGGCTTGTGCTTTTAAAATCTGTCGGTTTTTATAATTAGCTTACTAGAGATTACCTCAACTAATTAGACTTTATCTGTGTGACTCCAGATTTAGCAAATCTACCATTGACCAGATATTCACCAAGAAAAAGATCAACAAATTCCACCACTGGTGGAACACCAAAGGTGTTGCCTCTACGCCGCCATTCCCGAATTTCGTATTCCCGCAAAACAAACAGTCAGCGGGGTCAATTTTGTCCATCTAGGAACCACCATCAACACCAATAACATGCTAGCGCTGAAATCCAAGGCAGAATTACTATCTCCAACCGGTTGCTACTTTTGAGTAGGCAATTGAAAAATAAAGTCCTTCCTCGATGAATAAAAGCCAAATTCTACAAGCATCTTATTATTCCCGTCATAATTTACGGTGCAGAAGTCTGAACAATGACTATCATCTGACGAGTGAGGGTTTAAAGTTTTCGAGGGAAAAGTTTTGGGAACGATTTATGCTGCTACGCTTGCTAGGCCATTTGGTCCGTGTAGGTGACAATTCTCCAGCTTTGAAAGTTTTCGACGCAGTTTCTGCAGGTAATGGCAGAGGGAGGGACAAAAACCTCTACTCTGTTGGAAAAATCACATATGTGTAGATGTGCCTGGCTTCATTTGAGGTCTCTCATTGGCGATGTTGTTACCCCGGCTATAATCTTGTGAGCGGTGTCTACGTTAATAAAGTAAGAGCAGAGGTGATGCTGGCAATCTTGTACATATAACAACTAATAATCAGATGAGTCAGTTATACAAGACAAACGCCAATAATGGGATCGGTAAGTGGCGATGATTTTTCATTTACATGGCACTTTCAATGAGATAGGTTATGTCAGTTTAGTCGCTATGATTTTGGTTATGATACTTTCAGCATTAGTGGAAGAACCCAAGATGTGTGCCTAAAGATCGACGGCAAATCTTTTTTTAGTTCTTAAAATTTTTTAATTGGTGATCGTCCTTATTATAAGTTAAAATCGAGATATGCAAAAGCTAAAGATATGTATACACATGCGGTAAATGATTTTATGAAAAATTACAGCTCAAATTTATCTTATTTTAAAAATGATTAAATGCATATTAAAGGGTGTTTATTTTAGATATGTGGTTAAAAAGAAATCAATCGCATATAATTTGATGTTATAGAGAAGAATTTAACTTTATTACAAGGTGAAGGTTTGTCATTATGTTTAAATTGTTAAAAATAATATTGAGCAAATGAATGAAATTATCGTGTGATGCGTAGCGCGGACTGAGCCATTATTTTTGGTAATAAATTTGCACGGCTACAAATACAAAAATAATAGCGTATTTTGTTTTTGCTTTAGCGTAACGACTGTCAAAATCATGGAAAATTAATTGTCTATTAAAAACGCATAAACTCTTTGCATCATAATCATAGTTTTCAACATTTTCAAGCTTACAAATTGGATATTAAATAAAATCCAAGAAAGCAAAAAGTAAATTTAAAAACAATTTGGACACTCATGACGCTCAGTGAATGAAAAACTTGAATTCGCTGCCGTAGTAACTTCACCTTGTTAAATTCGCCTTGGTATTGCATCATTTGAAAACCACAAATCTGAAAAAAACTCCCTTTATTTGCATGCGTATATCTAAATACGCATGTATTTATCTATGTATATATGTAAATACTCACAAAGATCATCACTTTCAAGTTGTTTGATATTCTTTTCGCTTAATACGAATATGTAAATTATTTACACTTTTTCACTTGAGTTGTATGTATATACACATGTACATATGTATTTCTTATCTCCGCATATATATATGTACATACATAAGTATTTCTAATCAAAACAACTTAAAACAAAACACACACATATTTTGTCGATTATTTTTCATTTATAACGGTTTTTTCATTTATTTCGAATTCTGTTTTTTATATTTTGTGAAATTTTAACCAACAAATTCATACGTTTTTTTTAATCCTTTGTGCTGCAGTTGTTTCCTTGTGAACCAAACCACGTTTGGCAATACCGCTCTTTAAAGACCACAAGAAAGAAAGAACACACTTTTACAAATACACTCGTTAACGGTTATTCATAGTTACGCCTTATTTGTTAGCGAAAGAATATTTATAAATTTATTCAAAATGCTTTTGGAACCACAACCGGCGCACGCAGAATAATTAATTAATAAATAACAACAATATTTGCATTCTTTTCTAACGGGTTTTTCTTGGTGTTACTTATGTATGTATATAAAGAAAAAAACCTTACGTGCTGCTTCGTGAGCACGGCGGCGGTGGTTATTTTATTGTACTTTAATACAGGTACATTAGCACAATTACACTAATACACACACATATGTACATATATACATACATATATGTACATATAAGAAAGCATACACCATCACGGGAATGTAGCACCAAATTCCACACCATAACCACTCGCTGCGATCACACCGTCCAGTAGTTTGCAAACGTTTCGTTCCTTCTACAACTTTTGGTCAAGTTAACACAAATACCGATGTTGGTATATACTTATGTATGTATGTTTGTATGTATGCGCTTAGATATATGTCCCTGCCGGAAATTTGGTGTTTGACTACCAACTTTGCTACCTTTCGACCTACTTTTTTTTGACAAACTTTAAATTGGCCGTGAGGTCTCAATTTGGAAAAAAAAAATTGTGGTTTATCTTTTTAATTTAATGGATACGGATAGGACTGGTGTACAAAAGTAAAAGACTCGTTATAAATAAAAGATTTTTAGCCGGCGGCAAGCCGAGCAACAAATTATAGCATGTAAAAAATTCGCCGTAGTTTATTTTAAATTAGAAAACCATCAAGTAAAACATATATTGTAAATAAATCATTCATTGTTAACTGCAACAATTGAAACCATTGCCAAATAAGCCAAAGCTTGGAGAGCAAGCAATCGCTTTAAATTTATAAATTTATAAGAAAAAAAGCAAGGCGAATTAACTGCAGTTAGCTGCAATGGCGAAAAGGAGGAATGTCGGCGTTCCCGCCTGTCTTAGCACAAGCAAAGAAAAACAGGATCAAAGTGAAAACAATTACTTTGTATAAAGAAATTTATTTATTCGCCCCTTTTTTTTTACATATCAATCTTTATTTCGCTTAACTATCGGAAAACCCAACAGTCGATAGAAGAAAAAAAAAAACAGCTGTGCGAAATACATACAATGACATACAAATATTTGACAGCGCTTAAGCAGCTGTCATCGAAATATTTGACTTATAATATTAATACAAATCATTGAGATATTCGACAGCTTAGAAAGTAAACAATTCGAGTTCAAAATTATTAAAACAAATAATTCAATACCGACAATATACTTAAGCAAACCATTTTATATTTAAAATACCTCAAGGCGAACTCATAAAGGCAAAATCGTAACAGCAATTACCGTCTATTTTGTTTTTGCTTTAGTGACTACCAAAATCATAGAAAAATATAATTGGCTTTTAAACACGCACAAGCTTTTTGTGCCACTCTTTCTTCGCGCAAACCACAATCACAAAATAGTAAATCAAATGTAACAAATTATAAACTAAAAATAATTTTGGCAATCACTACGTGCATGAATGAATGAAAAAATTAGATTCGCTGTCATGGTAGTTTTGTTAAATTCGCATGGAAATGTATGTTGAGTTAAGTATTTGACAGCTCGTTTTGTTTGACAGCTCTGATTTAAATCGTTGACAACAATTAAAAATGTTTAAAATTTGTAAAATAAAACTTGGCAACATTGAACTAAGTGGTTATACCACTTTAATAAAGTAACCACATACTCTCAGCTACGGATTTCAACTGGATCGCTTTGTAATTGCTTTCACACACAAATGTTTTGATAAGAGAGCAGAGCACAGCGAAATAGCAAGCAAAGAAGTGGTGAATCGAAGACGGCTGACGAAAAGTAGTCGAGTGGCAGTTTTGTCTAGTTGAAAAATAGTTGATTTATGACAGTTAGCATCGTTCTCTACAGGGATATATGCATATAATGTATGTATGGAAGTATCATAGAGCAGCTATAGCCGACCAACAATGGCATGGCATACCAATATCTATAATATTCAGTTGTGGTGTTGGCGCTAAGAACAGGTTTCTGAATGGTGTAGTATGTATGCGTATAAAATCCAGAAATTTAGTTTAATTTATGTATGTACAAACATACACACACATATATACATATATGTATATGTACATATGTAGTAGTATAGGAATTTATTGATAAAAGCTAAACATACATACATATGTATACAGGTGCATATGTATGTACAATATAATGAAATATTTTAAATGAAAGTTTCTCATCTGTTTATATGTTTCAAATCAAAAGAAGTCAGTGATGCATTTAACGATATTGGTTACAAATCTTAAACTCACAGATGCATGTGAGTGCACTATATATGTATGTACATATGTGTGTATGAGTACCAACTTTAAAACTATCTACCATAAATATGCTCCAAATATTCAAAAATAATTGATACAATTACATGTATGTACATACACATACATATATGTAAATATTTACACACAATGCAATCCAATTGCGTTTACTTAGTATGCGCGCAACCGTTAAAATGAGGATATGTAATTAGATATATTAAACACCGAGATAAAATAACTACTTTCAACATACGAACATATAATATATACATACATATGTATATGTATTTGCGCATAAATACACATGTCCACATGTATACATGTATGTATGTATGTGTGGTAAAAAAAAATCAATCTCAATATAATTTAACACTTTGGCATCTTCAGAGAATCACAACAAATTATTTTTTTTTTGCACTTTTTTTTATTTTGTTATTTTTTGTTGTAAATTCACTAGGGCACACGAGTTAAACATGTACATATACATATATGTATTTTATTTATAAGGTTAACCTTTAATTGAGTATATAAGCTCCTCACTCAATTCGATATTAACTGCTGATGACCGCACAAAACCTAGACACAAATACGTTGTGACATGCTGAAACCTCAAGAGATGACTGCTGCAATATAGAACTCCAAATGCTCTGCAGACACACCAGACGGCGATCTTCGCAACAGTAAACTATCAGCAAAGCTAATTTTAACATTTAAGACAACAAAAAGTGGTAGTGGTGTTTACCACTTTGGTTACATACAGCTATGGGCAGAGATTTAGCGCACCTGCTCTTGCACGTAAGTTAACAACGTCTTGGCAGAGATACCCGCTTCTGATGACGACCACCGCAAATGTTTTAATGATCATGATTTGAGGGCACATAACTGGAATGCCCTTTAATCCCTTAATTGGGAAGATGCTGCTGCAAAGCTGACATCATCTCCGTCTAAGAAGTGCGATGGATGGGACAAGGACAGAAATGAATGGATCCTTGAGACATTCACTACAGCGGCCATATAAGGAGCGCAAATTTGGCATCGTATTCGTGGTGGGTGAAAGAATTCGTAGCCGAGTACTGGCATTAACCCCGGTAAAGGAACGTCTCGCTACAATCCGTATCAAGGAGAAATTTTTGTACATATCGTTGATTTGCGCCCACGCCCCAACGGAAGAGAATGATGAATGAAGGATGCATACCTACTCATGGGCTCCGCCACGATTTAGTGCTACCGTAGGTTGCTTTAAGATTCGCCAAAATGTTGGGGTGTCGATTCTTTCCTGCGTGGGGTTTCCTAGAATTTGGCGCATGTTAAATATCTGGTCAATGGATTTGCCAGGTCTAAAGCCACACTGATATGTTACAATTAGTTCGTTGGTTATGGGTTCGCTAAAACCTTCTCAGTTTTCGTCGGTCAAACATCGTCTAAGCGGGCGATCAAGTCTCCAGCTTCATTATAGTGAGGAGATGAAACATCTATACCATTTCATTCATTATGTTTTAGTGCACACGAATTTTGACGTCGAGACGAGAGCAACTCTCATAAGTACATTCTAAGCGTTCATGGAAAGCACCATTGGCCACAGCGTCCTTCTCTTCCAACGAGGCTTGCGCATTGCGATATGTGGAGTAACTTAACTTTTGTGCCCATTGTGGATGTTTGGTGTTTGTCCACCGAGCTAGATAATATATTCAATGTATAAGTCTCGCTCCCACCACAAAATCAACACCAAACCTGTGATATTTTATATGCCTAGTGTAATAAAGGTCACAAGGGCCTATTCTCTCTCGTCATTGTCCTGCCTCAGCCTTAATTTGTATGAGAACATACACTAGCTGGATAGCGCCAACTTTCCAATTAAGTGACGGGACACTCCTCAAATCGAAATACATGTGCAGCTGTGGTCATTGAAATTGGAAGAACTCATTCGGAGCTTAGCATGCGCTCGAGCAATAATTGCAATATATTGCTTCCAAGGTGTTTGCGATGTTGGTCGCAACAAGGTATAAAATGAAATCATTTACATGCAACCGTTGTTTAAAACTTTATTTCTGTCAAGAATATATTAATCGATAGTAATATCGTAGAGAGAGTTTACCGAGAGTATCGTAGGTGACTCAATTGATAACGATTGCAATCAGCTGCTGCCATAAATTATCTTAAAATATTGGTTTTTGGTGAAATTCCTGCAAGCTACTGTGTTTTGACAAACTTTAAACAATAAGTGAATTAAGGCAAACGCATTCAATGGAACCTGAACCCGAAAATTGCCCTGGCGTGGGTACAGAAAATGCTGGTAAATCAAGCGCCTGTGCTGGATGTCCCAATCAACGCATCTGCAGTGACCCCAATACTAAAATCGTTGATCCTGGTAAAGAACTTGTTGCAAAATCTATGAGCGAAGTCAAACAGAAACTTTTAGTGCTCTCTGGAAAAGGTGGAGTCGGTAAGAGTACAATGGTTACGTTACTATCTCGATACATGGCACGTGCATATCCTGACCTTAATTTTGGTGTGCTGGATATAGACATTTGCGGGCCATCGCAACCCCGCATGCTTGGTGTTGAAGGTGAAAATGTACACCAATCCGGCTCAGGGTGGTCACCAGTGGGCGTTGATGACAATTTGTGTCTTATGTCTATCGGCTTTTTACTTGGCTCAACAGATGACGCTATTATTTGGCGTGGTCCCAAAAAAAATAGCATGATTCGACAATTTTTAAGTGAAGTAGATTGGGGAGCATTAGATTTGCTAATATTGGACACACCACCAGGCACATCAGACGAACATTTATCGGTCATTTCATATTTGCATGATGATAATTCATCGGATACATTGCGCGCTATAATTGTAACAACACCACAGGAAGTATCTTTACTTGACGTGCGAAAGGAGATAAATTTTTGCAAAAAACAAAAGATACCAATTTTGGGAGTAGTAGAGAATATGAGTACTTTTCGTTGCGGACATTGTGGTACAGAGTCTGAAATATTTCCAGCAAAAACAGGCGGCGTTGGAGCAATGTGTGCTGAAATGGAAGTACCGTATTTGGGTGCACTACCTCTTGATCCTCAAGTGACAAAAGCTTGTGATAATGGGGATGATATTACTAATATGAAAAATGTTACAACCGATGCTTTGGGTGATATATGTCAGAAAATTTATAGATGTTTTTAATTCTTTAATGTGATACAATTATACAAATCCAAAATGAGATAAATAATGCTAGAGGAATAAACTTCTTTGAATATAAAAGTTTTGATAGAAATGATGATGATGAAAGTTATTTTTTTCTCAAAATTTGGATCAAGGTTCAAGCCATTATCGTTAATACATATTGTTGCTTCTTTGGTATGGTTTAATATTGGAAGTTCTGGGGATGGAAATCACCGAGGTGTAGTGTGCCGAGTGTTAAGGTTGATATGTTCTTCTGGTCCTGTAAGTTAATAGCTAAAGATAATGCTGTTAAACAACAGAAATTAAAAAAAAAATTGAACACTTTTTAAGTTTTATTTTTATAGTCCGATTTACCATAAGAGTGCAACAGTTTTCTTCCATGCAAAAAATATATAATTTTATCAGATACGAATTTTTAAATTTATCTACTGGATACAGATTTACATGAGTAATCTTTAAATAAGCCAAATTATTGTATTTGTTGATATTTGTATAATCACTTCCAAAGTTACAAAAATATTATTATGTATATAATATATGCAAACCTTTAAAATATGAGATTTTGTCTCGCTCATGCAGTGCAGAAAAATGTGGTCGACCGATTTATGGCCTTCAATTTACGAAATTTTGCACATTAGAAATGTTATATGGTCGATAGCTAAAGTGTTACGACTTAAGATTTTATCAAAATTGTGGATCTTGTATAAACTTCTGTCAGACCCAATATTCCTACATTTAGCTACGAATTGTAACTTTTATTGGTTTGGAATATAATAATAATTTTGTCAAAAAGATATTAAAGAGAAACTTAAAACAAAGCCATAAATGCAAATATTTAAAAAAAAAAATAACCGGTGTCTCATAAAGATTTATCCGAATATTTCGAGTATATGACGTTAATAGCATGAAACAATAAAAACAAAACTGGTCAAATGCCAAGTACAACTCGGTTGATCACCTCAAGAGATTACTTTTTGAGAAGGCGGCAGCGGTTTCTTAAAGAATGGATCATTAATACTGTTGTTAGTGTCAGAGGACATATTGGAACGACTTGTGCCATCTCCAAGATCTAGATCCTTTTGTAGCATTTGCGATAGAGCAGTACTCTCGCAGGGTGGCGCAAACGTGGTATCGCGTCCTTGTGACAGCGGTACTATTAAGGTCTCCCGACTTTCCGGCGGTGGCGCATTTTCTGAATCTTCCAATAATGGAGTCAATGTTACACCCTGGGCAACCTTATCCTTGAGTTTGTCAAACAATGAATTTGTATCACTTTGAGTCTGTGTTTGAGTTTGAGTTTGAGTTTGTACTTGTGTGAGTGGCAATGGCGGCGGCACATTTTTAATAGTCACCGAATCGGTACAATCCTTTACCTTGTATATGCCCACAATGTAGTCAGATAACTCAAACATATTAGAACGTAGAGAAATGATGATAAACTGGGCGTTTTTGGTTCGCTCCTGTAATGGGCAAATTGATCAAAAATTTAAATTAGAATACAAAACGTTTAAACCAAAAATTTACCTTTATGTAATGTGCGACAATTGAAATATTCTTAAAATCGAGAGCGGCATCTATTTCATCCATAAAGTAAAGTGGCGAGGGCTTATAGTAATGCAATGCGAAAACGAGCGCTAATGAGGATAGTGTTTTCTCGCCCCCAGATAAATTTGAAATATTCTTCCATGTTTTCTTCGGCGGTCGCACACTAAAACTGACACCCTCTGTAAAGGGATCCATTGAATCGACAAGTTCCAATTCGGCGTCACCTCCTTGTGTAATCATTTGGTACATTTCCTTAAGCTTGCGTGTAATAATTTTGAAACCTTGCATGAATTCATTATATCTTTTTTTACGCAAATCATCATAGAGCTGTCGCATTTCATTACGCTTCGATGTTATGTCCTCCAATACCTTTACTCGCTCCAAATACACATTTCGCTTGTCAATGTATTCATCGATACAAGATAGATTGGGCTTTTTCTTTAACAATTCTTCTTGCACACTTTCTTTATATTGAATATCCTGTAGTGTGTGTGCGGCAAGCTCTTCTTCAGTGTACGTTTTCAGAGGCTGTTGCGGTTCTTGATCTCCAGGAATCACATGCAACCTCAGTGGTTTAAGTTGATCACGCCAATGAGGGATTTGAGATTTAACTTCGTTTATTTTAGCATTGACAGTTTGAAGTTTTTGATCGATTTCTACGCGTTTAAGTGTGCACTCGCCTATGGAAAAGCAAAGTTCAGTTAAATTTAAATATAATATTTTGTAATATTTAGCAAACACTTGTAAAAGCTGATTGAGTTAATATTTAACTAAACACTGCTGTTGTTGCAGTTGTAGAGGTTTTAACCAAACTCCAGCCCTATATAGTTATTCAAAAAGTATACATACCTTCTTTCTTCTGCAACGCTGAAATTTCCTTTTGTATACCCGACGATTCGCTTTTGGCATTTTCGATGGCGTTCTGAGCTTCTTCGATTTCCTTAACCAACTGCGCGGTTTCATCATCATATTGCTGTCTCTTTGTACTCATTGCGACCAGCTCATCCTGAGCCTTTAATATATCCTCATTCAATTGTTCGATTTGCTTTTCCATTTTCGTAACATTACGTTCGGATGTTGTTACTTCAACTTTTAATTTAGATATATTATTATTTAGCTTCTTAAGTTGTGTACCCAAATTATTGATCTTAGTCTGTACCGATTTTACTTTATCTCCATGAATGCTATCAATTTCTGATTTAACGCTAGCAATTTTCTTTGCTACTATGTCTGCTTCCTCCTCCGATGAGCTTAGCTTCTTTCGTTTTTTCGCTATCTCAGTTTCGATATCTTTTACTTTTGCTGCATCAGTAGTAGTTCGTTCCATACGCTTTTTTTGAGCCTCTAACTGTTTAAAAATTCGTGGCAATTGTTCTTCCAAGCTTTTGATAGTGATACCTAACTTTTGTATTTCTGATTCATTTTTTTGCCTACTTATATTCAGTTGATACACTTCTCTCTCTAAATTCCCCTGCTGCTCTTGATTATAATTTATTTGAGATTGCAGTTCTTCAGCTTTAACTTGCATATCTTCCAATGCTTTCTGAGAAATCATAGACGAATCGGCAGATTGTTTGGTTTTTGTTTGCACTTTAGTGCCCATTTTACCGCGTATTTGGGTACGACCACCACCAGACATGGTACCAGATGTTTCAATGACATCACCGTTTAACGTTACAACTCGATATCTTCGGGCACCGTAAGCGATACGCGAGCCTTGTTCCAAATCGTTTGCCACTAAGGTGTTGCGAAGTGCAAAATAGAAAGCCGGTAAAACACGTTCGTCTTCAACGCGTACTAAATCGTATAGACGTGGTGCATTTTCTGGACTAAAAGGAAAGAATTAGAACACATTTAACATACTTAGAATAAAAACTGTAATCCTTACGTTTGTATTCGACCCGATTGGTTAGCCAAATGATTTACTTTTTCAAGTGCAATAAATGTGGCACGTCCGATATCGTAGCGCTTGAGTTGCTCAATACATTCTTGGGCAGTGTTAACCGTATCTACTATAATATCATCCAAGCGTCCGCAAGCAGTTGAGATTGCTACATCGTATTTACTGTCAATGGCGCCCAAATCGCCCTATTAATAAAAAGAAAATTTTTTGAATATTTTATTTTTTAATATATGAAGTTCATGTGGACTCACCAATCTTCCTAAAATGCCCGGAACTTTGCCTTCGTTTTTCTGTCTCATAAGAAAGTCCAATACTTTATTGTTTGATCGCGATGTTTGCAAACTAACATTTTTTTCGTTTATCTGTAAAGGAATTTCGATAAATGAAACTATTATAATCTTAAATCACTTTTAACATATGGTTTTCATAATACCTCAGCTTTTAGAGTCATTAGCTGACTACGCATGTTTTGTTCTTCCACCTGCAATTTTTGCATTTTTTGTTTCTTGACTTCAATTTCTTTTTGTATTTCGGGTAACCGACATTTCATTTCCTCTACATTTTTGCGTTTCTCAATCAAATTACTCTCCGACTCCTCATATGACGTCTTCAAGGATTCATATTTGCGCGTTTCGGTCGTTTCATCATGTTTAAGAATTTTCAATTCGGATTCAGACAATGCTAAGGCTGCTTTTGCCTCATCCACATGCTTTTTTAATTCCACTAATTCAGTTTCAAGTTTTTCACGTTTTTCAATGAGTGGTTTAGTTACTGCTTCTAAGGTCACATAATTATTTGAAAGTTCTTCTTCCATTGCTGATTTATCTTTAGTTAGTCTTTCTATTTTTTTTTGACACTCCCCTATTTCTTTTTCATTCTTCTCGGGTATTTTTTTTATTTCCACCAATTCATTTTTAAGTTTTTCCATTTGTGTTTTATGTTGCTTGCGTCTTTTATTAGTCATATCCATCGTCTGTTGAACTTCAGTAAAATTTTTGTGCGCAGATTCCCATTTTTTTTCTATATCTTCCTTCTTTTTTCGCAGTGCATCGAATTGGCTGTAAATGATATTAAATTAATATATTAATTTTTAAAATTTGACATTGATTGATAATTTATCACGTACGCCATTTCTTCGCGCACTAATTTTTCCTTCTCCTCACGTTCCTGTTTGAGTTTTTCCGTCGCCTCGTCATGCTCCTTTAATACTGCACTAATTGTTTCGTGCTCTGTTTTATATTCCTCAAGCTTTTTATTTTTTTCACTAAGGTACTTTTGTATGCGTAAATTTTTAGTGCGTGTATTTTCATTTTCTCGACGAAGATAATCGATTGCTTCATTATAAGGTTGTTCCAAATCTTTCATTTCACGTTCTGCCAACTTGCAGCGATTATGTTTTTGAGTACGCTCTTCAGTTAATTGCTCAACACGCTCGTTGATTTTGACAAGTGGTTCTTTATATCGTGTCGTTCCAACAATATCCTCCATATATTCCAACATTCCACATTCATTTTCAGTTAGACCTTTTGGTTTCATCATTGCAATTGACTCAACTTCACCCTGTTAATGTTTTAAAAGTATATTTAAAATGCTAATAGATAAATATATGTGCATATGTTTATTTTTAGCTAACCTGTAATATTAGAAACCTATTATGATCCAAATCGACGTGATGTTTTTTCAAAAGTTTAGCAACTTCTTTAAATTGTACACGACGACCATTAATGGTATAATATGAGGAGTTATCCCGGAAAGCCGTACGTTCGACAACGATATCACTGTCAGGTATTTCCTCACATGTGCCATCTTCTTTATCTAATATTTGTCGGAAATGCACCGCTACAGAGCACATAGACATATTCGGATATTTAGCGGAATTATGAAGCAAAGTGGAAATTTTTTTACACCGTATCTTATTAGCGCGATAGCCGAATACAAACAACATAGAATCGATGACATTGCTCTTACCACTGCCATTGGGCCCAATAATAGCTGTAAAACACTGAAGGAAAATTTATTAGTATGAAATGAAACGATATGAATCTTTAGAATTAACTTACATGATGAAAGGGACCAAGTACCACTGTACCAGCATAACTTTTGAAGTTTTTGTTCTCTATTTTTTTAATGATCAAACGTGGTCCTTTACTTTCCGTAGAGCAATGTGGTGGCACAGGAGGCGGAATGTAAATGTCACCAATTCGTGTACCTCCGTCTTCATCGTCAGATATGTTCGCTTCATCTAAAGCTTGTTGCTCTACACTTTCTGGTTCTTTGTCGGACCGTGTAGAGCCAGAATTTAACTTGCCTGAACTTGTCAACGTCGATTCCGTTTGCCCGCTTCTTCTTCGCTTCTCTGGTGTGGTTTGCTTCTGATTTCCCACTAAGGACTTCCGTTTAGAGGATGACATTGCCGCTATTAGCGCGAATAGTCAAAGCGTGTTCTGTATCAAATATTGAATTCCCGAATACGTCTCTTCTAAGAAGATGATGTTTCTTTATTTACAATTTTTGATTATTATTTGATTACTATCTGTATTTACCACTTTTTATTAAAAATTAATTTTCTAGTTGGCGCCCGATGTAAAATGAAAACAAACATCTATGGCTTGTCAATCTCGTAAGCGTAAGCGTCGTAACGATTTTCACTTGAAATGTGCTGAATACAGAGTTGCACTTTTAAGTATTTTCAGCGGATTTACGGTGTAAGCACATGCACGGATACAACACTACGAATAATTTACAAGGGATGTTTTTCGTATGATTTTGTTATTACAGTCATAAAATTTTTGTTGTTTTTGTTTTTCCATCTCTTTGCACTCTTAGGATAATAATTAATGTATATAATGCCGACAAGGTACAACCTATACCCGATGAAATAAAACTCATAAATGTCAGATCCCGATTAAACGGTATGATTTGGTTTTGAGATCTTTTCCATAAACTTAGTTTCAGAAATAATGGCCAGAAAAGCTACGTTTCCCTAGAGAACCCAAATTGAGCATGACTAACACTGATAGGATCAGATGAATTCTTTGAATGCAGCGTTTCGGTCGCTCACATAATATACCTAGAATATATATCCAAAGATGATTGCGGCGTTCCCCATATTCTGAAGAAATAGATGCATGCCATTTGTGATATGTTTCGCAATGCTCGGGTTATAGAACGTCTAAATCATCGGAATCAGTTATGGGCGCAGAAATACCATCTCAATTGCTTCAAGCTCTTCTAACTCACGCATTTCTATACGAAATGTCTTGCGGTTGACATTATCGAAAACCGGTCGTTTCTTTGGGGGCGTCACGAATGAAGCAAGAACGTGCTTACATAAACGTGCGTATTTCGACTGCAAGAACGGCCTCGGAGCCCTTGATTTTAAAATACTGGAGACATACTATCCGTCTAGCATAACATGATGGATTTGCTTTCGCACCTTTTGATTAGGTGACTGTCAAGCGGCTTGATAAGTTGGAGTCTGGTATTACAGGCTTGAAAGAAAACGGTCACCCTCAGACCATTTGCTGGGATGAGAAGATACTTTATTTACCCATTTCCAATAGCAGTCGTCCGTCGGCAGGGAATGAAAAGCCATTCAAGTGTATGTATTTTTGTAAAAAAAAAGCTCCTTATAAAAATACGCCGTTCGGAGGCAGCTTAGAATAAAATTAGAATAAAATTAGATGATTACCTTTGCTAGTCTAGAGCATAATTTAATGGTCTACAAATTATTAAAAATGGAATGATTTACCCAATTTTTATTATATTTTATTACCCAAAACCATTTACCAAAAAAGTTCGGTAGATAAACTATAACCGCAAGATTTTTTTTTTTTTTTTTTTTTTTTTGTAAATATTCACTTTTAGTTTGATAAATTTAAATTGCATATTTTATATTTTCACAAAATGATTTTTGTTTTGTATCTGTTTTAATACAAATGTATTTACAATTTTTACTGTTTTTTTTTATTTATTTCGTATAATTTATGGGCAAATAATATGTTTTGCAGCATATTTATAATATGTTTTGACATATTTACCGCAAAACAAAAACGGGCAGAAAATAAATACATACATATGTACTCGTATGCATAAAAAATATTAAAATTTGTATATATGTATAAATTTAACACCTACTTATATAAAGAGAAATATAATTTATATATATACATATACATACATTTTTTTTTGTTAGATATAAAGTCAACTTAGAACACAATTATTTAATATACTCAAATGAATATATAGAAGGTATTTTACATGTGATTCACATCATCAACATTGTCGTTTAGCGCCCACACAGAGCATTCACTATTCACTGCAAACATGTACATATGTATGTGTATGTACATACGAGTATGTAGGCGGTCGTGAATGTTAGGTGAAAATGCTGTTATTCGCAGGATACACTACATTTTCTCAGTTACTGTACTTTAATACTTGGCCGCACATGGCGTTTGACCTCACAGGGGATTCGACCCAGAGGCTTCCTGCGATGTGTCATCGCATTTTAAAGAGCTGCTCTTCTGTGAAACGCGTAGGGATGTGCTGCGTATTAGTTCTATACGTTGTGGCATCTGCATTTGGTACACACATACACACATACATATGGATGTAGGTATATATTAAAGTAAAAGCACATACAAAAGTTATTAATAAATACAAATTTCATTTAAATATATTTACAATAAAATATTATTTACCGAATTTTCCGACATTTTGGAACCTGTTCCGGAATTGTTGAAGCTGCTGATGTATACGAGTATGTATACACATATATGTATACATATATTCATGTGTAAGAAAGGTAAAGTAATCATTAAATATTTTAGTTTTAATTACCTGTAGCTACACATCTTAATTCTCTCTAATTCATGCTGCAGCGCACAGTAGTCTCCATGCAGACTTCGATATTGCTCTAAGAATTTTTGTTTTTCCTCCAGTAAAAGTCTTAAAAAATACAATAAATAATTTGGGGACGATTAACATTGTTTAACTTCATGTTCAATCTTCTTTCAATTATATGCATTACTGTTCGGTGAGCTGATTCTTAATGAACCGCGTACTGACTAATTCTTACTGTCATTTCTCACCGAACAGAGCTTATGTCAAAACATTTGATACCAATTCAGGATTTTTAAATAATTTTCGACTAATCGACTAAAAATGGCAATTTTTATAAATATTATTTATATATTTATATTTTTTAAATATTTTTTAAATATTATTTAGTTTTTTTTTTTTTTGTAAAAATCACATTTATTATCAATTTATTTAGTGAATGGACGTTTTTGTTTTATAAACTTGGAATTTTTCCTTGAAAAGATATTGGCGTAGAGAATATAGGAATTCTATAAATATATTCTATCAGACTACATTATATTTCTTAGGAACTCTCTGTTCCCGCCAGCGTATTGATTATTTATTTTCCTAAAATTTTACGATATATAGAATATTGAAAAGACGGTCTGTCTGTTCGGGCACTGGATGAAATATATTTTTCACAAACATACATACATACATATATTCAGTTATGGGACACACTGTCCGTACAATGAAAATAAGCTTATTAAAAAAAATTTATTAATGAACAATATATGTATGTATGTATTCAGAATAAATTATATTTCATTTTGTGCACCGTCGTCGCTTTTCGAAGCCCAAGAATGCATTATCTCTATCTTCTCTATTCACAAAATGCTTAGTCTTGAGGGACTAACAGATCAACTCACAGCCTAAACCACGGAACGTAGAGATCTGAAACTTGGATGGTGTCTTTTGCGTATGACGTAGGCATCCGATAAGAAAGGATTTTCCTTCAAGTGGTACTGGAACCGATCTATACGAAAAAATCGGTTATTCGACACGAAATTTGGTACAGAAATAGCTTGGGTCTAAATTAAAAAGGTGACTACTTTTTCTTCCAGGAAGTGGGAGGTCGGACTATTAAAAAAAATCGTATTTTTGGTTCAAATGCATGAAAAAGTTGCTTTCTTTCGACCAGAAGGTAGACCGTTTGTACTTAAAATGTGGAACTTATACGAATATGTACATATATATGGCTCTTTGCCATGGGTAAATGTTTTTTCGAGACCGATTTAACCGAACGAATCATATTTGTAGTTTTATTTGCTTGATATTTGCAATATGCAAAGCTCTTTGCCTGGGATAATAAGCTTGTGAGGTCGCCGAATTTTTTCATAGAATTTTCGAGCATAACCCTTCCCGGCCAGCTTCTCAAGCTCTTCATACTCACGCGATTCGGCCTCTCTCTTTTTCTACCTTTCATGTATGCACTTACATACATACATAAAATGGTATATTAATTTTCGACCGAAGTATGTAAAAACCAGAAGGATAAGAGTTGGACCCACAAAATTTATACCAACCGACTCAGAAAAACGAGTTAAGTTGATTTACTAATGTCCGTCTGCTTGTATCCCAATTTGTTCATCAGTTTTGTTCACTGTTACCGGCTGGATCGAACCAATGTAGCATATACATATGTATTCGACCGATTTTTCGGATTCGCCTAAACGATTTTCGGCAGAGCTTCTCCAATTTGAGGTATGCTTCTTGATGTTTTTCCAACAAATTACAGATCTACAGTTCATACCAAGCTGCCTCCGAACGACTGATAGTTTTATTGTGAGGAGCTTTTTAAAATATTTCATGTGAGAAATATACTCGGAGGGGTTGACATTCCCTGCCGAGGGGAAAATTAAATACATTTTCTAAAATTTTTGAATGCTGGTTTTGAGCCAGGTCTTGAAACCTGTTCTTCCGAATGACATTGCGTAATGCTAACCACTCGTCTATTGCGGCCGTCAATCACACATTGGTACTAAAAATTACCGAGATCAGACGATACGAGCTGAGATATTTTGAGCAAAAAATTCGTCAAAAAAGCATGTTAGAGCATGGAATTCGGTGTTATTAATTCGTATCTACAAATAAACATGATCGCCTAAAATCTTCGCCATCCGAGGACTATATGATATATATGGTTATAAAAGGTATAAAGACTTCGAAGAGAACTCTTCATTATGGTACTGTCTGCATATGTGTATCGATTCGCTAATAAACTCTTGGCATCTCCGTCAGCTGCAACGTTGTGAGATGGACAGTCTCTTTTCGCTTCAATCCAGCGCGATAATCTTCATCATACCAACTCTTTTTAAGAATTTGTCGGAAACAGACAGCTTAATTAGCGCCTGTCTGCAATGTGCTCGAATCGGTGTCCCACAGTCCCTTACACTGAAAATTAATAATGCAATAGTAAAATGCAATGGTACAGCCTACACAGAAGCAGGTCTATATCTCATTAAAAATAATTACTAATTATTAATATTTTCTGTTCAAGATTTCTAAATTTGGCCACCAACAAAGGGGAAGAGATTTCAAAAGCAACAGGAAACTCGGTATGCCCACGTTTTCGTCGCCGCTCTATACTTTACAAGCTGTGAGTTGTTGAAACGTCATTCGTTGCTTAAACGTTCCAGTATGTTAAGTGAAACGGCTAGAAGGGGACATCTGATTAAGTCTTAACCCACTAATTTTTTTGAGAGGAACTACAGAAAACGTCTAATTGTTAAAGGAAGCCTGCTTAGGCAATAATCGACTTTTGAGATTTCTCTTATCTTACTTTATGTGTTCCTCATATTGTTTGAAACTCGCTCTGGTAGCATCATCGGCTTTCAGCTGTGCCTCTTTCCATTTCCTAAAGGAATCAATAACCTTTTCATTCTGCTTACGAAGGTCGCACTGTTTCCTTTAAATGGAAAGTGTAAGAAATACTTTGGTTATTATTATTAAAATCCCGTTAAATAGTTAATGAGTTTTTATACCTATATTCATTTTCGAGCTGCTTATAGTCATCACAGAGTTTATTGAACTGCCGCTTTAGTTCATTGTTCGCCTCTTGAAGTCTTTTTGTGCAGTCTCTTTGCGTGGACTCACTACGCTGCATGATACGCTGCTGTTCTTTCATTACATCGTGCGCCGTATATAACTCCTTTTCGATCTTCATTAACTGATCCGTTTGACATCGTTCTTTGTTTAATAATGTCGCCTCTTTTTCTTTTAAGGCCAGCACTTCATCTCTTAAAAGATTACGCTAAAAGCAATATTGGTATGCCAATTTAGTGAATTGAATTGAGTGAAACTATACAAGTCATACTTCCATGTTATGCTCCTCTTGACGCTTGTCCATTAGTGCCAAACGATCCTGCAGACAATTCATTTGTGTACATGCAGCTCGTAATTGCTTCGCCTGATCTTCATAATTTCGTTCCAGTTCCTCGTATTTTTTACAAATATCACTTCGACAATCATTTTGGGACTTCAGTAATGCATTCAACCGATGCATTTGCACGCTGAGATCACCTAGAACATATGAAATACAAGTGAAATACTTTTAGTAGTGAAAGCACACCTTTTTTTAAAGTGACACAGTGAGTACGCGCTTTCAACTAATTTTTCGAACTCAAATCTTGCCTCATCTTACCCCAAGGCCTTGCTATTGCATAGAGTTTTGCTAAGAAAGATAGGTCCTCCACTGATTCTGATGGCATATCAGTCAGAAGTAATAACGGTATTTCGAGTAGTCCAATCGATGGATTACTTAGCTTTTGGCGCATTCGAAAATATTGGATAAATACGATTTCATACGGTGTGGTTCCTGAAAATTTCTTCAGAAAACGTCTTTTTTTCCTTCCCAGCAGATAATTACCACACTATAGGTGACAGCATGCAAATATACACGAATAGATTAAAAGTTGAGGAAAAAGCTGCATTATTAATTTTCGGAGGTGTATTCTCAGGAAACCCTTCTTTGTTTAGGCTCACCGACCATGGCAGTGTCTTCCAGGTGAAAAAATCTGCTGTTATAGAAGCAGCTCTTTATCTTTATTTTCAGCGACAGTAAGGCAGCAATAAAAGCAGTGTTCCCTTACATTCAATTCCAAGTGTCTGTCGCGTAGTTCATAGGTCTTAGGGGCGCCGAGGAGAATTGTATGGTGGATGAACTTACTAGGCAAGGTACGACCAAACAGATTTTTTTCAATAAAGAACGCATTGCTATGCCTTTTGCCACATGCCAGCCTTTTCTTAAGGAATTTACATATGGAACGAAACTACAACTTGAAGCAAATCAAAAGCAAATCTAGCCAAAATGAGATCAGAGAAGAGGGTACATGATCAAATTAATAGGAATCTTGGCAGGCCACTGTGTGATAGGATGACATGCAGATAAACTAGAAGCTCCCTGCAAGAGACACTGCAGAAGCTGAGTACGAAACTATCACCCAGCTTCTATACGACTGTCCCAATTTGGGCAGTGCTAATCTTCGAAATTAAGGTCTAGATGGTCTAGGGAAGATATAAGGTTCATTAGAGATTTGAAATGGTTGGATATCGAAGCCTAATGAGCAAGTTTTTGTGGCTTCACAATGGGTATTATTCAGGTCTAGGTGTAATCGGTGCGATAGATCGGTAGCTATCGCATTTTCGGAGGAACCTACAGTTTATGCTAAGATGCCTCCGAACGGCTGATAGTTTTATTGTGAGGAGCTTTTTATTTCATGTCCGAAATACACCCGGAGGGGTTGACATTCAGTGCCAAGGGGTGACCGCAATTAGAAAAATTAGCTTAGTTTTTTATTTAAATTAATTTTCTTTAACTTTTTGGATGTTAGTACGACATCAGTATTTGAGCCAGAGCCTTCCGAATGGCACGCAATGCTAACCACTCAGCTACCGCGGCCGCCATTTCTTACTCTTTTGCATTCCTTTTTTTAAATCTTTCCCCATAGGAAACTATATCTCAAGCAGTTATATAATCCATAGCCGTCATGGTGAATTTTTGAGAGAAGTCCCTTGCCGAGTTAGCGTTGAGATAGTTCAACCAATTAAACCGCCGTCGGCTAGTTGGATGAAAAAAAAACAAGCTGTGAATATGTACGTTATTCACTTTCAAAGCTTTATTTTTTCATCCAACCAGTCGTCGGAAGTAGTTCGAGAAAAAGACGAATGATCAGGCAGAGTAGGAAATTGCCTAACTTTGTGCCCATTTGAAGCCGAACTGCAAAATAAGAAACGACTGACCAACTGCTGTTGACTCGGCCATCACAGCGATGGATTTCTATCCTATCTAAGCTTTCGAAGTTGCATAAACTCACTTTCCTCAATTAATTGGCGCGAATATAACAGTAAATGCCGTAAATAACATAGGTTACGTGACATGACGTTAGGTTACTAACCATGCTTTCGTTTGCTTTCATTCAATTCCTCGTTAAGTTTTCTTGTTTCACAAAGCAGAAAACGCTCCTGTTTTTGACTGCGCTCTAATTCACCCATAAGCGATTCCACCTTTTTATTGGCTTGGTCCAACTTTTGAGATATCTCCCTTATCTCATTATCTTTTGCTTGCAGACAGCACTCGTTGGTGCGATGTTGGTGCTGTTGTTGGTCACATTGTAATTTCTCCAGCAAATTATTTAGTTTACCTATGTGTTGCTCCTTTTCCAAAATTGTACACTGCAAATGTTGCACTTGGCAGCGTAGATTTTCATTCTGTAATGGAGAGAGGAATGTGTGTTTAGTTTATATATTCAAAATTATCGGATCGAATTTTTCCGGACACTTTGATTTAGTTCGTAACAATGTTTATGGCTGTCGTGTGATACTTGTTCCAGTGCGTGTTGCAATATGTCATTTTGAGATTCCAAGATTTTCAGTGTAGACTCGAGCTTTGCGCCGCCAACCTCATCACGCGAGGAGGGTTCAGAAAATTCTTTCTGTACCATAGCTACTTGTTGGGAGAGGGACGTGAGTTCGTTTTTCAATTCATTCACAATGTTCAAATAACTGTCATATGCCGAAAGCACATGTGTTCTATCCCATATTTGAAAGGGTTTTTCAAATTGTCTTCCGTGTGAATGATCGTCTGACTTGGGAAGAAAGAGATAACTAAAAGACTGTTGCATTTATTGTCCATGTAGTAAGCAAAAACCTTACCATTTTGTCCATCGTTACAGGTGTATGAAGACATTTTTTTTATTATATGTGTTTGGCAATTAATTAATTTCTAATCGAAACCGGAAATGCTCGGCAGTAATGCATATTCGAAATTTATTTCATTTATTTGTTAAATATTTTTACGTTGACATACTCGTATAATGTATAAATATTCATTAAAAAAAATCATTTTTATCGGTTTGACTTTTTACATGTAGATAATTTCCTTTCTAAAAGCAAATTTACACACGGCAGTAGTTAGAATACAAAAACAAAAAGCCTATGTATTTTGTTTGTGTAAACGTAGTTTCCAAAAATCAAAAACGAAAATTGTTCAATGTGTTTTGTTTCTGTAATTTTTTGGAAATGCAATCGTATGATGTGACAACTTCACCTTCTATAAATTCGCCTTGGCATGATTCAATAATTAGAGGTTGGATAATCAGATTTCTCGCTTCCTCATGGCAGGTCGGCCCAATGATGAAATAATAAACAGGTGAATAAAGTAGAATAGAAAGAAACTTTGGCATTGCCTTAGCTCAATTTCGGGGGGATTTGAAAATAATCAATTATTATTTGAAAAATGCATACGATTATGTATGTATATGTACAAATATTTTTGGTTATTTATTTATTTATTGCTTATATAACAAAACTTATTATTATTATATAAACTATGCTATGATATGCCGCGCTAGCAAGATCGGCTTTCGGCTGACTGGTTTATTAAGATATGGCGAAGATGATCGGACTACTTTAAGATATTATGAATTTTAGATTATTTATATAATTGCCGCTTTCTAACCACTGAAATATTTGTCAACCGAGCTTCTCCTCATATTTATAATGTACATCTTGATGTTTTTCCAACAAATGTAGAGACCTCGAAAACATTTGACAACATTTTATGAGAAGCCTTTATTTCATGTCTGAAAATTGAACCCCAAGTGACAACCGCATTGAGAAAAGACTTAGTTAATTTTTTTATTTGGATTTTCTATAATTTTGGATGTTGATCGGTCCAGTACTAAAACCCGGTGACAGTCTGGACTGCCCTGAATCCGAGATCGATCACGGAAGATCGCCGTTACACTTGCCTCTTACACTAAGCACCTACAGATTTACTCACCAGCTGCTATAGATTAGATAGTAAAAGCCGAAGGAAAAAAACTTATTTATTTAAAGTAATTAGTTCTTGGTGCATAAATGAGGCTTGAAGGAATAAAAACTGGTGGAATGAGTATTCAAATCTTTGCTCAAACATTGGTTTTGCACGAACACAATAAAAGGGGTCTAGATGATTTTAAAGGGATGATAGCACCTCTTTTCAATTCATTTTAAAATAATCTTCAAACATCGCTTAATAACTATGCGGTGAACGTAGATAAATGAGCGGTAAATGATTTTTATAAAGAAGAAAAATCTTTTTTCCAACCCAGTGTAAGTTGCTCAACACCATCGTAAGAATTTATACAAATTCCAATTTATCTCTATAGTCTGGACTCCACACAACTGGGTGTAATTTGGTAATGAATGGGTCTTTGAAGTCCTTAACACAACACTTAATGAAAGCTGAGAGTTAATTGTTTTAACCCTTTGCCCTCGAGGGGTGACTCTCACTCACCATGGGGTGTGCTACCGCAACTCGAGCGGTGACTATCGCTTACCAATTGGTTTGCTGCGGTTACTCGATACGCGATACTAACTGTTTTCGTTTACTTTCTTCGACGCGGGTTCTTATAAGGCATTTCCACGACAGCCCAGTTACGTGTTTCGCTCTCACAATTACGAATATATAAGAGTAACGTTTCAGGAATTATCATCTTAAAAATGTAAAGAATCATTATATATATATATATATATATATATTAAAATATATAAGTTTTATGTGTTACTTTTTGTGTGTACCCATTTTAAGTTAGAGGTAAGAAATTCACCAAACACGCTTTTGTCGAATATTTGAAATTATATTTATTTATATAATTGGCGCTTTTGTAACCGCCGAAACGATTTTCCGCCGATCTCCTCCTCCAATTTTTGTTTTTGCGCCTTGATGTTTTTTCCCAACGAAATGGAGAGACATATAGTCTATACTAAGCCGCCTCCGAACGGCTGATGGTTTTTTTTATGACGAGCTTTTTATTTCATCTCAGAATATAATTCTATAAAGCAAAATCTCTTGCTAAGACAGTGCGCGGGAGAGGGACAATTGTTTACTTACTTCACCTGTATATTATTTCATCATGGGTCGGCCCCTTACTAGAAAACCATGATGCTTCTTTGTAAAAAAGCTACGATTTATCATAACGTATATTAAATAGTAATAAAAAGTTTTCAATTTCATAGAAAACAGCACACACTTTTTTACCTATTGGCTGGTTGAGTTTGTTTACATTTAATTTTACTAATTATATAAATTTTTATTTACTTGCACATATTTTTTTTATTTGGTTTATTTTTTGATAAGTTTATATTCATGTGCATATAATAATATATGGATCCTTGAGAATTTTTTCATAGTTGAACTAGTGGAAGCTTTTGCGTTTCAGATACACTGCGCGACAACCGATTAGCACACTCTCTAACCTATCTGTTTAAAGGAAAATAACTCCCTACTCTGAATATGTTTTATGCGCATTCTATTTTTCCTTTTATTCTGTATCATTTTCGCTCATTCTAAGTATAAGTGTACCGTTATTTTGCTTTGCTTTTTTTCTTTAAAGTGCGACAAAAATGCATGCATGTTTTTTGCGACAGCCGATTAGCACATTTTCGCTTTCTTGCCTTTTTTTGCGTGTAAGCTGCCTCGATTGGGTGTTTATGATTATTATTTATATATTAGGACTAATTATCAATAAAATAGAGTTATAATGGGCAAAGGAAAACCGTTGGACGAGTCTGAAAAAGGCAAAATAAACGCTTACAGGGAGTGCGGGCACTCTATTCTTAAAATTTAAAAAAATATTAAGCGCAGCCGTAAAGTTATTACCGCACATTTAAGCAATGAGGATACATATGGGAAAAACATGAAAGGTCGGCCATCATCACTAATAACATCAGCTGAAATGCGAATCATACTACGACACGCAACTAATTCCCACGACTCAGCCGCCAAAATAAAGGAAACAACTGGTGTTAAAGCGTGCGTTCGGACTGTCCAAAGAGTTATTTCGAATGCTGAACATATGAAGCATCTAAAATTAAAAAAAAAAAACATCTCTAAACCAACTTAGAAACTCAATTTCTGTCGATCAAATATGACCTGGTCTAAGGAGTGGGAGCGTGTAGTCTTTTCAGATGAAAAAAAGTGCAATTTGGAGGGTCCTGACGGCTATGCCTACTACTTTCATGATATCAGAAAGGAAGATCGATTGCACAGCCGTGCGGGTGGTGTCATGGTGTGGGGAGCTTTAACATACTTTGGCACTAAAGAACTGCAGTTTCTTACCAGCCGTATGAATGCCATTCCGTACAAAGGTGTTCTGAATACGGCTTTCCCTGCAATCAAGGATATTTTTGGACCCTTGAAATGGAAGTTCCAGCAGGACAACGCACCTATCCACACAGCCAGGATTGTAAAGTCCTGGATTGATGTTCAAAACTGACTTGGATGCTATACTCTCCCAACCTAAACATTATAGAAAATGTTTGGGAATGGCTGGCACGAAAGGTGTACGAGTCCCGCAGGCAGTATTCAACCGAAGCAGAACTCATTGAAGGAATAAAAGGGTCCTGGGAGGCTGTTTCACTCACAATTATATAAAAAAAATTATATGACTCCTTACCTCAGCTGATGTACGAAGTCATACTTAACCGTGGAGGCTCAACACATTATCAATTTGTTTTCAAAAAAAGTTAAAAATATTTAAATTAATATTAAAAAACAATTTGAATGAAGTTTGAACCCATTTTCTCTTGTTATTTTAAGTTTTCAAGTGACTGTGATAATCGGCTGTCGCAAAAATAATAGAGAATTTTGTATGTTATGTTTGTTTATATTAATTTAAAATGTTAGTAATAAAGTTAGTATCCTATCTTCTATTAATTTTCGTGTGAAATTATATATTCTTTTAAGGGGAAAAAATTTTATTTGAAAAGCTTTTTTAGTTTTCCTGATATTAAGTTTCTAAGACGAGCAGTATAGGGTGTGCCAATCGGTTGTTGCGCAGTGTATATGTACATACATACATACATATACACAAGACTTGACGCAAATGGCTGCAACATCTGTTTGCTCATTTAGGATATTGTCAAGGCAAGTGGTTCTTCTTACAATTTCGCTGCATATTTGTGGTTGCGAATCACTAATGTTAGCATATGAAGGAGTAGCGATGCCAACTAATAATATGGAGGTCCAGCAAACAAGAGCCACAACCTTACTCTACACGTAGATATGATAACTCATTTTCAAATATTAATGGGTGCAGTAATATTTGTACATAGATATAAATAGATAATAAGGGCACAAACTTTGTAGTACTTTGTAGTACTTTGTAGTAAAAACGAACGGTAAATACAATATGTCCTTCAATCGAGTTTTGGTCCAATTCATTAATGTTTTCTTGGTGAATCAACCAATGGGTCCTAAGTTAGTTGTAAAGGACAAGTTTTTTATGAATAGAAAGTCGAACACTAAAGGTAATCTGCTTCCCTAAAGCCAAAGGAGAGGACCAAAATGGTAGAGAAACGGGTTTAAGCAAATCTGTTGATTGATGTCAGTTAACTGCTATTTTTAAGCTTCTACATATAATCAACTAACCAAAATTAGCTAAAGAATAACTGGTCAAATGCGAATCTTATTTCAAGTCAGTCAAGCCAGTTTCCTCTGCTTCCACCAGCGTAGCCGCTGTCTTACTTGGAACAGTCTGTGAAATAATTACCATTACTGTAATCATGAAAGCACATGATTATTTTTGATTTTTTATATATATTT